TCTTTCTTTCTTTCTTTCTTTCTTTCTTTCTTTCTTTCTTTCTTTCTCTCTCTCTCTCTCTTTCTTTCCTTCTTTCTTTCTTTCAAAGAAACACAGATGGAAAACTTAATGTTATGTTTTTTATCCATCTCTGAAGCCAGCATCATACTTGATGGTGAAACTTGAGTATTTCCATCTAAGGTGGGTTTCCAGGCATGTTTGGGATAACCACTCGAGTCTACTATGTGGCGCCCTTCTTCTCTGACGGGTAGAGAGCCCTAAACCCTCCTGTTAAGGACTCTGTGACTCTCCAGTCGCTTTCTGCCTAGAACGATCTTCTTGGTATCTAGGACCCCATCCTATTTGTTTCAAGACTGATTTCAAACTTGATTACTTCTCCTCTTATCCCTGCAGGGCAGACCCGACCAGTCTGTGGCCGTGGCTCCTTACTGGGGGCAGTGAGGGCATGTGGATTGCTTCCAACCACTCCTGCTTTTTCTTCTTTCCTTTTCAAAGTTCCTCCCCTTCCCTCTTTAGGGAGCCTTCCTCTTGCCCACCATGGTGAGGGAGGGAGATGAGACTCTGATCACAGGACCAGCTGCCCCTGATGGGTTTCATATTGATTGTGGAGAGCTTCTCTTCCTAGATAATAAACAAGCACCAAGTGATAACATTAGAACATTATCAGAATGCCACCATTTTGCAACCCTCTAGTGAAAGAGCGGGTCGAAGTAATGGTCTTCAGTAACTGCCAACATCACAGAGAGACAACTGGACATTATTTGCCTTCTGCGGGAAGTGCACACACACTCTCATGGCAATCTTGCCAAAAAAATAGCCTGTATCTAATCAGGTTTATATCCTGAACCACCACGTATCAAAAACACAAAGTTCAGAGGACTCCATTCAATAACACAGGGGTGCAATCAGCAACATCCGTACTGGAAATCTATAAGACAACCTGATTTCTTCAACACATGAACTGCAAAGAACAAAATGCCAGTATCTGTACTGAGATTTGCAGAGGATTGGATGCCTGGGATCTGCTTTACATGAACCTGCTAGGGGGAGGTTTGGGAGTGTGAGTGGCATGAATGGCTGAGCTGATTACTGGGGAAGAGGGAGGTGGGTCCATGGGCCCATCAGACCGTTCTCTCTATTGTGGTGTGTACATGAGAGTTTTTATAATGAAAAAATATGCAGGGGTCACCCACATTTATTTTGACCACAAAATTGGTTTTCTCTGGGGCCTACCACTGTGATTCTGAGGCTTTAGACACAACAGGAATGTGTCTATGATGTTTTGAGATCATTGAGACACCAACTTTTTTTAGGTAGATTTTTTTCTGAAACACCAACTTTAATCCATGAACAACCACCCAAGAAATGCTCAGATGCTTTTTACCTCTCCATGCATTAGATACTTTGGGGACAAGTAATAGATTTGTAAAAATTCAAAGTAATGGAAGGTGAACAATAAGCCCTAAGACCTCCACATGTAATCATTGCTTTTCAAGGTCTGCAGTGACCTGTGCCCGGAGCTTTCTAAGCAAAACTCCTTTTGTTCCTTACCACAGACGTAAAAATGGACCTAAAAACTGCAGATGGGGAGATGGGGCATGGGGTGCAGAGGGGAGCAGGAGTGTGGACCCAGGTGGCCTCTGAGTTGGGAGCTCTGTTTCGGACCATCTGCTCCTGAGCAGGAAGCAGCCCTGGGGTTGAGCTTGCTGAGTTGCTGTGGCTCAGATGTTCCACCTGCTTCAGGCGGCTGTGATTCTTTGCAGGGCATGGCACAGGCACACAGGACCCCCCAGCCCAGGGCTGCCCCCAGCCAGCCCCGTGCATTCAAGCTGGTTCTCCTGGGAAGTGGCTCCGTGGGTAAGTCCAGCTTGGCTCTTCGGTACGTGAAGAATGACTTCAAGAATATCCTGCCTACGGTAGGCTGTAAGTGAGAGCAGAGCACCCCTTTGCTGGTCTTCAGTGCAGAAGTCTAGGTTGCTGACTCACACCTAGGGCAGAGGGGGATGATGCCTGCCTGGGAAACCCCATGCTGTCCTGGGGCCTTGAGCTGCCTGTGTCCAGTGCGTGAGGGGAGGGAGTGAGGTCCATGAGCGCAGCCACAGAATCTACAAAGACAGGAAGCACCCTTGGCTCTGGGTCAGATTTCAGCTTAGCTGGAGTCTGCAGGGGGTGGAGATTCTGGAGTAGGACCTCTGGCCCCAAAGGGTTGGGTTGGGTGTGAGGGATTTTGCTGGTGGAAGGGAGAGCCCGGATGAAGCCTCCTGGGCTCTGGCCACTCAGTGGCCTAAACCAGCTGTCCTCTCCCACCGCCCAGGCCACCCTCCTGCTAACACTGCTCCCTTGCTTTATTTACCCCAACAGCATCTTCCTTCCCGCCTGGACTTGGTTTACCAGCTTGGCCTGGATTGGGGGTGGGAGGATCCTTGTTGGGCGTGGGTGGGGAGAGAGACCTTCTCGCTGTGCTTCTTAAAAAGGCTAACCTGTTGTGAAGCTCAGGAGTGACTGCATGGGGCATCTGCAGGCTGCTGGCCTCCTTCCCATCCTGCTGTGGGCACAGCCTGCCTAGGCAGTGAAACCCAGTTTTCACCTGAAATGGGGAAAGCCAGCGTGTTCTTTATGCCAATGTCCCCCGGGGGAACACGTGCAGAATCAGAGCCTTGGTTTCAAATTCGGACTCTGACATGGATAAGCTGCCCATCTCCAGATGGACTCATTCGTTTACTCATCTAACAGGCATCTGTTGAGCACAAACCCTTTTCCACGCCTGCGTTAGGTGGGGAGGATTCTATAACCAGCTAAACAGATGCACCAAACACAGAAACACAATTGCAAAATGTGGCACATGGTGTTAGCTATTAGGGAGCCCTTCCATTTTCTCGGGGGTGGGGAGTAGTTCCTGAAGGATCCCCAGGAGATACAGGGGGATCGGCAGGGGTCTGCCTGGTCCAACTCCCAGAGCTAGTGGTGAGAACAGCCAGAGTGATGGTGAGAGGCTGTCTGCAGAGGGGGACCCTGGGGAGAGAGTCAAGGTTGCCCTGGGGTGGGCAGTGCAATCCTCTTCTCCATTAGCAGGGAGATCTGCACCCCTCACCCCGCAAGTCCTGATATGGGACTTGGCTTCCTTTAAAAATACATCAAAGTGCCAAGGCTGGCCTGAGGGTGGCCTCAGCTGAGAATAGAGAACACAGATGAGGGCCTCACTGGGCCTGGATGTTGAGAGCTTTGTACCTGGGTGACTGGTATTCAAGATGCAGAGAGAGGCAGCAGGTGTCGGGCCAGGTGAGTTGGACTGGGGATGGATCTCACTCTGAGACGGAGGTCTGCACACCATGGCTCTCTGGCTGTTCTGCTTGTTTTGTGCATAAGGTTCTGTGGAGACAAAGCTCTACCTGTTCAGGTACTTACCCTCTGTAAATGATATTCTTGCTGTTCCTCCTCTTTTCACTCTAAAACGGCAGCAGTGTTGAGTGGTTGCGGCAGTGACCCCATGGCCAGTAAAACCTGAAGTATTAGCTACAGGGCCTTGTACAGAAGGACCCTGTGCTGCCACCCTATCAGAGCCTGCAGGAGCCAGCGCCCAAAGGCACTCACTGGGTGAGTGCAAGCAGGGCTGGGAGACTCCGAGATGCGTGGTTGGAGGGTGGGAGGGTGCTTTGGATTCATTGAGACGTGCTTGGACGTGCTCAGCCCACAGAGAGCTGTACCCACAGAGCCCCCACCTTCCTTGGGTGGGGGTGAGGGGCGATGTGTGGGGTCTGTGGAGCCTCAGGCTGATGCTGGGCATTCTGTATTTTACAGGCGAGGGGGATGGAGGCCCCGACATTGAAGGGCGAGGCCCTAGTTCCTTTTGTTCCATCAAGCCAGGGTCCGAGCGTCCCCCTCACACCTGCTCTGGCTGTCCCAATTGCCCGCCCTCTCTTCAGGGGGCCTACCAGGCTCAGTGGGGTGAACAAAGCTGGGCTTGCTGGGGAGTCCCAGGCCAGGTTGGGGGTCTTTGCTTGTGGGGAAGGCCTGTATGTCTCACTCTACTACTGGTCCTCTGCCTTGGCCCTCCGGGGCCACCCCACTGCTGGCAGCTTTCAGATGAAAGCCAGGGCCTCCCTTCCTCCAAACCCCTCTCCCCCAGGCCCGGGTTTGTCTCCTCTCTCCGAGGAGCAGGACCATTCTACAGGCTGGACTCTTCCTTTCACCCAGGCCTGCTGTGTGGGGTCTTTGCTCCCACTCTGGGTCTCCGTGATGGGGCAGGGTTGGGAGGCTGTGGGCTGTGGCCCGTGGCACAACAGGGAGAGGAGGAGAACAGCCAGAATAGGTTAGCCTGTGGCTCACAAGCCGCCTTCATCCCATCAGCCTCCAACCCTGGGGTCCGTAGTTTTGTATTGAGCACCTGGGTGTGGGGGCAGCTGTGCTGGGTTGCAGGAGCAGAACTGTGGAAGCTCCTTCCTTTGCTGTTGCCTGAGTCCCCTGTGGGAACGCTGGTCTTCTCTGCTTCCATCTAAGTGTCTGCGTTACACTTTGGGATAATATTACAGCTTTGGGAGGTAGCTATTACTATGCTATGGATAGACGTCATGCAATTTATTATCATCATTATGTTAATTTTTTTGAGACAGAGTCTTGCTCTGTCACCCAGGCTAGAGTGCAGTGGCTCACTGGAACCTCTGCCTCCTGGGCTCAAGCCATCCTCCCACCTTAGCCTCCAGAGTAGCTGTGACCACAGGTGCACACCACCATAGCTAATTTTTATATTTTTTGTAGAGATAGAGTTTTGCCATGGTGTGTACCACCGTATCTGGCCTATGTTAGTTCTTTTATTATTATTATTTTTTGAGATGGAGTCTCGCTCTGTTGCCCAGGCTGGAGTGCAGTGGTGCGACCTTGCCTCACTGCAACCTCCACCTCCTGGGTTCAAGCGATTCTCCTGCCTCAGCCTCCTGAGTGGCTGGGATTACAGGTGTGCACCACCATGCTGATTTTTGTATTTTTAGTAGAGATGGGGTTTCACCGTGTTGGCCAGGCTGGTTTCGAACTCCTGACCTCAAGCAATCCACCAGCCTTGGCCTCCCAAAGTGTATGTTAATTATTAATCATCATTATAATCATTACATGATCATATATTATTATAAATGTGGGTATTGCCGCTTCTAGGATGAGGAGATGGGATGTGCTCATTCCTTTAACTTATGTGCTTTGGGGGAAGAGTGATCTGTGTTGCACGAAAACCCTTTGAGAGCATACACTCCTGCTGCTTTTGTCACGTGTGACTTCAGCTTTTATCAAGAACACTGGCTCCTGCCCAGGGGAGAGGGTGGGCCAGGAGCAGAGCCTCAGAGGAGAACGGGAGTGCTGTCCTCACAGGCAGCCTGGAAATGCAGGAGGCAACGCGCCCAGTGCTTGCTTGCAGGAACCCCGAGGGAGGGATGGGATGGACGGCCACAGGAATGCCGCTCCTTCCCTCCATCTGGATTTTTTCCCTGTGAAATGGGAATGTAAACACCTTCCTGGAGTGGGCTCTCCATGAAAGGTTGCTGTCACTTTGGGTGGCTTGAGGTCACCAAGGCCAGCCCTGTCTGAGGGGTCAGCCTTCAGGAGGATTGACTTGTGTCTCTGGGGCCCTCCCGAGGGGGTCTGGTTCAGTGGACAGGTGTGTGGGGTGGGGCCCACAGCAGGACGTGACACAGGCCGTGGGCTCAGCTCCTGGCAAGACACCATCCATCCAGAGGAAGCAGGAAGCAGAGCCAGAAAGTGACACGGACTTGAGCCCTGAAGCTGGAAACCCAACGTGCTGGCCGGTGCCACAAGAGCAGGCAGGGCAGAGGCAGAGCAGACAGGAGTCCAAGTGAGCCCAGCCTCCCGCCCACCCCCGCCAGGGCCTGTTGAGGAGGTGGCAGCTGCAGGAGCCACTGCTGTGTCAGGGATGGGGGCTGGCGCTACCCATGGACTGTCCCCAGCGTCCTAACCAGCCACAGCAGGGGAGATTCTGTACGCTGCCGACTTTTGCATGACATCTTTTGGGAGGATGGTGACATCTAGTGCTTGTGTGAACATTTGCCAGCTGAAGCCACGACTCACCCCAGACTTGCTGGGCTTTTTGCAGGAAGGGGAGGGTGACAAACAGGTACCAAGCACATTCAACCTGGCATCAGTTCACTTCCCTTCTAAACCGAGAACGTGGCTGATGTCCTAGAGCCCCCAGAAAATAAGTTTCCATTTCATGTTCCTTTCAATTTGTCATCAGCTCACTATTTTTACAAAAAAGCCAAGTGCTACAGAGAAGGCTTCAATGAGCAGAATCAGCTGTTTATTGAAATTAAAAGGTAAAAAAGCAAAACCACTTATATGATGCTAACATTTAGTAAAGAGGCTGGGCGCAGCGGCTCACGCCTGCAATCTCAGCACTTTGGGAGGCTGAGGCAGGCAGATTGCCTGAGCTCAGGAGTTTGAGACCAGCCTGGGCAACATAGTAAAACCGTGCCTCTACTAAAGAAAAATTAAAATTAGGTTGGGCGCTGTGGCTCATGCCTGTAATCCCAGCACTTTGGGAGGCCAAGGCGGGCGGATCATGAGGTCAGGAGATCAAGACCATCCTGGCTAACACGGTAAAACCCTGTCTCTACTAAAAAACAAAAAAAATAGCCGGGTGTGGTGGTGGGTGCCTGTTGTCCCAGCTACTTGGGAGGCTGAGGCAGGAGAATGGTGTGAACCCGGGAGGTGGAGCTTACAGTGAGCCGAGGTCGCGCCACTGCACTCCAGCCTGGGCGACAGAGCGAGACTCCATCTCAGAAAAAAAAAAAAATTAAAATTAAAAAAAAAAATTTGGTAGAGGAATTATTATTTTTACTTTTTTTGAAGATGGGGTCTCATTCTGTTGCCCAGGCTGGAGTGCAGTGGTACGATCACAGTTCACTGTAGCCTCAACCTCCTGGGCTCAAGCAATCCTCTGCCTCCGCCTCTTCAGTAGCTGGGACCACAGGTGTGCGCCATCATACCCAGCTAATTTTTGTATTTTTTATAGAGACAAGGTTTCACTACATTGCTCAGACTGGTCTTGAATTCTTGGGCTAGAGTGATCCTTCCTTCTTGGACTCCCCAGATGCTAGGATTACAGGCCTAAGCCACTGTACCCAGCCAAAAATTTATTTTTTTAATTACATTTTGGCTTTAGCTGTGGAGATACAGAACATGTGATTAGTGGGTTTCTGAAAAAGGATATGATAATAAATGCATGTTGTCTTCCAGGTCAGAGCCAAGGAGTGCACAAGACTAGGTTGCCTCGGATACCTGTCCAGGGGCCCACCTGAGGGTCCTACATCTCTCTGCAGGGAAGAGAAGGGTCTATGTTCTGTAAATAGCCAAACATTGACTATTATCATGCATTATCATTGCTTGGACTAAAACCCATGCCCTCCTTAGAATTTTGCTGGGATTTTACAGTAGTGTAAATGCAACCACCAGGCATCATTTTCTTTTCTTTTCCTTCCCCTCCCCTCCCCTCCCCTCCCCTCCCCTCCCCTCCTCTCCTCTCTTCTTTTTTTGAGGCAGAGTCTCACACAGTCTCCCAGTGCCCAGGCTGGAGTGCAGTGGCATGATCTCAGCTCACTGCAACCTCCACCTCCTGGGTTCAAGTGATTCTCCTGCTTCAGCCTCCTGAGTAGCTGGGACTACAGGAGCGCGCCAGCACACCTTTCTAATTTTTGTATTTTTAGTAGAGACAGAGTTTCACCATGTTGGTCAGGCTGGTCTCGAACTCAACCTCAAGTGATCCACCCACCTGGGCCTCCCAAAGTGCTGGGATTACAGGCATGAGCCACTGCGCCCAGCCTCCGGCCATCATTTTCAACATGGAAAAGGAAAATATGAGAGGCTAAGGTTGGTCAATGGAGGAAGCAAACCTGAGTTTTAGGCTTATGTGTCACCTGCGCCAGCTTTTAAGATAAAACCAAATTCAAACTGAGAAATGTGATTTGAAGTGATGGGAAACAGAAAGATGAGGATGAAAGGCCCACGTTTTAAGACAACAAGTCTACGAAGAGCAAAGAGGACAGGAAGAGGAAGCAAAACTCATGTTTCCTTTCTCTCCTTGCTCAGACGATTTAACTGCCACCCTGGGTGGAGGGCACCATTAGCTCCTGCTATGGACGAGGAAGCTGAGACTTAGAAAGTTTAAGCAAGCTGCCGTCCGGTCAGCTGAGGGGTCTACACTCATGGCCTGGGCACAGTCTTCATTCTGGCACCATCGTCAATCCAGTGGAACACCTGATGTGTTCAGAGGTGTATAGCCGGTTCAGTCCCAACAGTTGCCCCGTCCGGGCTGGAAATCACTGGTCCTACTGTCTGGATGGAGCCTGCAGCTTTGTTTGGCCTGGAGAGTTTGTCTAACTTCAAGTTCCTGGACCTGCAGGAAACTGCAGGACACGCGGGCAGAAGAGCCCAGGTGGTGGCTTCTGTTTAGGAAGAGGCCGTGTCATGAGAGAGAAGCTGGAAAGCTCTGTCCAACCTCCTGTTCTATGTTTAGTGGGTGCAACTGTGTTTTTCCCACCTGTAAAGATGCAATTAAGTCCTATCCCCTGGAACCTGTGAGTGCGACCTTATTTGGAGAGAGGGTCTTTGCAGATGGCCCCTAAGTCCAGTGACTGATGTCCTATAAGAAGGGGAGAGGACGCGGCTACAGAGATGCAGCCACATGAAGACAGAGCCAGAGATGGGGGTGATGCAGCCACCAGGAACACCAGGGTTGCCGGCAGCCCCTGAAGCTGGAGGAGGCCTGGGACGGATTCTCCTTCAGTCTCTGGAAGGAACCAACCCAGCCAGCGCGTTGGTTTTGGACCTCTGGCCTCCAGAACTGCAGGAAGGAATCTGCTAATTTGAGCCACTCGGCTCGTGGGACTTTGTTTTGGCAGCTGCAGGACTCACATGCACTGTCCTTGGAGCGAAAGTTTTCATTTTAAACATGTGGCTCCATTTGGCGGAGTCTCCCCAACAGACTCTAAACGCAACCCAGGGTCTAGGCAGGGTAGCAGCTTTGACAGGAGCCTGCCAGTGTTGGTGGCTCCTCCATGCCCCAGACACCTTGCCTTCCCCCACCCCTTCCTCTCCGATTCTGTGTATAACACGTCCCTGACAAGCCACACACGATGGGCAAAACATTTTGGAGATCTATAAAATAATCATTTTTAAAATCATACCTCTTTGGAAAGCAAAGGGTAGAAAATCTTTAAAAGAACAGTGCATTGTCCAATATGTTAAAGTGCTTGGGGTTTTGTGTGTGTGTGTGTGTGTGTGTGTGTGTGTGTGTGTGTGTGAAGACAAAGCCCCTGCGTTTCTAGGGGAGACAGGCAGAGAATGCAGGAAGCCTTGCCTCTGGGTGTGTTTGGGGTGCAGGGAGGCTTCCATGGAGGCAGGGGGCCCAGCAGCCCTTCCAGGGTTGCCGCTGGAAGATCTCAAAGGACACCTAAGAGTTTTCTAGGTAAGAAGAGGAAGGACGCCATGCAGAGGGGACAGTAGAGAAGGGGGTTGGTGGGGAGCAGCATCAGGAAAATGGGGAGGTTAGGAGGCGAGGAAGGCCTTGGAGAAGCTTGTGCAGTTGTGACTGCCTCTGTGCAAGATGGGTCTGGCAGACAAGGGGCCAGTGGGCTGGGGGTGCCCGGGGTTCTAGGGGTCCCCAGAGCCCAGTTGCATCTGTGGAAGCCGGCAGGGATGTGTTGGACTCCCGGTAAGTGGAGATCCCTTCCATGGCATATGTAACCCAGAGCTTTTGTGTTAGGTCCTGGAGAGATTTATCTTCCCAACCAAAGCCTCTCTGAAGGCCCCTTAGCAATCACTCCTGACACTTTGCTTGATGTGGAAACCTCCATCTCCCAGAATAACTGTTTGCTCAACCGCCCGGCCATGCGGGCATAGGAGGCACGTGACCAGCTGTCCTTCTGAGCCCATTGCTGTGCCTGTGGCTCACCATGGTCCCACCTGAGCCACACGTGGCAACCTCGTCCTCTGAGTAAGCCCTGTGGGTCTCCCTGTTTCAGGTGCGTTCTTCACAAAGGTGGTGGATGTAGGCACCGCCTCTTTGAAGCTTGAGATCTGGGACACAGCTGGCCAGGAGAAGTACCACAGTGTCTGCCACCTCTACTTCAGGGGCGCCAATGCTGTGCTTCTGGTGTACGACATCACCAGGAAGGTAGGGCCCACCTCGAGGCATGTCCCATCCTCCTTCCCAAGCACCTGCCTTCTAGTTTCTCCAATGCAATGATGCCATGGGAGGTGTTGGGTCATGGGGGTGGGTCATAAATGGCTTGGTGCCATCCTAGCAGTAACACCTCCTCCAGGATGGCCTCCTGACAACTCCCCATCCTCCTGCACAGTCGGGATTCTGCTCCTCTGTGGTCCACAAAGAACACGCCGCTGCCATCTGCCACTCAGTAGTTCCTGGTGCTGCATTAGGGTCAGGGTTTGGGGTGGTGGCCAGTTCCCCAGACTCTTGCACAAAGTGGTCCTTTGAGGACATCTAGGGGTGGAAGATTCAGGAGCTCAAGGCCTGACCTGACATACCCCGTGGTCGGCAGCCTCCTGGGCCTGCTTGGGGTGAAGGATCTGATGTGTGTCCCAGCAGTTTTCTGCCTGGCTGCACAGGTCACCCAGGACAGGAACGTGCCCTCCTCAGAGGAACAGAGCAGCCTGCAGGTGTGTCCATGGCCAGTTGGATTCTGTGACATTTAACACAACATGAACAGCAACACTGGCTTCCCCCCCCGGAATAGCTAATGACCACCTGTAAGTTTTGTTTGACATTACTTTTTTTTTTTTCTTTTCTAGGATTCCTTCCTCAAGGCTCAGCAGTGGCTGAAGGACCTGGAGAAGGAGCTCCACCCAGAAGAAGTCCTGGTGATGCTGGTGGGCAACAAGACAGACCTCAGCGAGGAGCGGGAGGTGACCTTCCAGGTACCGCCGAGGAGACCCTGCTCTCCTCTTCCGCAGGAGGAGAGAGCCCTGCCCGCCTGTGCCAAGACCTTGGCACTCACACTTTCACACACGCACACCCACACTTGCACACACTTACACATGTGCACACGCACCTCTACAAGCCCACATGCATTTGCACACACACGCACACCCCCCCACATTCACTCTCACACCCACACACGTACAAGCGCGCACACGCGCACACCCCCACATTCACTCTCACACCCACACACGTACAAGCGTGCACACGTGCACACCCCCCACATTCACTCTCACACCCACACACATACAAGTGCGCACACACGGACATGCACACACATACATGCACGCACACACACGCACACCCCCCACATTCACTCTCACTTGCACCCACACACGTACAAGCGTGCACACGCACGCACATGCACACACATACATGCACGCACACACGCGCACACACACAACTTTCCACCTGAGTTTCTCTGTTAGTCAAAGATTTCCTGAAAAACTCAGGGCCAGCACCATGGCAGTTCCAACCCAGTGGTGGAGGAGCAGGCACAGCGTGGCCGGCAGAGGGAAGGGCAGGGCGGCACTGCAAGGTGGGCTCAGCTTTAATGAGAAAAGTGATCTATTTCCTCAGTAGGGCTCCCTTCCCCTCTCGGTTCCCAGAAGGGGCCTCTGTGCAAATATGGCCTCCCTCACCTGGGTTTTGTCAGGCCTCCTTACAGGCAGAGGCAGCGGTCACCCAGGTGTCGCTGTTGTCTCTCTTCCACGGCATCCCACCTCCCCCACCACATTTAGGACGAAGACCATATAAACAGCTGCAGACAAGTGGCTGATGGGGAGACCCCACACACACTAGAGGCTGGCGCAGGGGAAGACCCAACTCAGGGATTAGACCGACAGGCGCGCCTCCCAAAGAGAAAAGGCCCCAGCTTCAATGGAGGCTGTGGAGAGATGGAGAAGTGGGGTGAAGATTTTGGAGAATCTCGGGGGAGAGCAAGGGGAGCAAAGGGAGACAGCATCGGTCTGGGCCTTCGTTGCAAAGTGGGGTTGGGGAGGAGAGGGTCCTGGCAACAGAGCTGTGCCCCCAGAGAGTGACTAGATGTGCTGCGTGCTCAGGCAGGCACAGAAACACGGGTGCGAGGTTACTCAAGGCCTGGAGGGGCAGTGGGCGGCCCCAGTGGGTTTGGAGCGTCTGTCTGGGGAGCTGGCTGAGGCGCTCAGTGGGGACCAACACAGGGCCGGCCGAGGGATCTCTGGGCCGGGACAGGAGTAGTGCATTCATGATGGTGCGAGAGCTGTGGGTGTGACTGGCCACACCTGCTGCCAGCTCCGTGTCTGGCTGGACAGTCAGGAACCTGAGCTGTGCCCTCTGGGATCCATCACAGGCTCCTCTTCCTGGGAGAGTCCTGGAGGCTAGGGGAGGGGCCTGCACAGGGAGGCCCCCATTCCTTGGCCACCCCTGACTCCTGGGCGAGGCTGTGGCCTTCCCATGATTGCTTCTCTCCTGGTCACCTGTTGCAAGCCTGCTATTTTCTAGTTTGCCTTTGCTCTGGGACATCCATTTCTCCCCAAAGGAGAGCTGTGCTGGAAAATGAGGGCTTCCCAGAAGGGCCCAGGTGGGCGCTGTCCAGGGGCCTCCCTCTGCCTCTTCTGTTTCCTGGGTGTTCAGTTGGTTCTTTGCCCAGCATCAAAGCCCACAGGTGCCAACAGGCATGGTGGGAGGGGAGTCTGGGGGTGGGAACCTGGCTTTCCAGGCGCTGCAGGAGGAGGAAGGCTGTCCCCAGCCAGCTAGAAGAAGAGCCTCTACCAGGGAGCACACCCTGCCCCTCCCCGGCCCTGGCTGTCCAGGAGTGCCGAGAAACACAACTTGGACGTGAAACGTGGAGGAGTGCGGGCTCCACAGCTGCAGCTTCCTCAGGTCTTCCTGTTGGAAGTGAACCAGGTGTCCTTCGGAAACTCTTATAAACAACGCTGGGTTTTGTGACTTTCTTTCAGGAAGGGAAGGAGTTTGCCGAGAGCCAGAAGTTGCTGTTCATGGAAACTTCGGCCAAACTGAACTACCAGGTGTCAGAGGTGTTCAGTGCCATGGGTGAGTGACGTCCCCATGGGCCAGACAAGGTGGGAGGTGCTCGTCCTTGACTGACTTCCCTGGGTCCCTGTTGCTGGTGACGTGGGATCCCATAGAATGTCTCTAGGGACTGGACAGTAACCAGGAGGGGCAGGAGGCCTTTGTTCTATGGTTCTGGATAAACAGAGAGGGGCGGGTCCTGCCCGGGGTGGCTGGTCTGCAGGGCTGTGCTTGGCTGGGCGACTTCCCTTCCCCTCTTCTTGCCGTTCACAGCCCAAGAGCTACTGCAGAGAGATGACAGGGAGGGCCAGGCTCCGGAGGGGGATGCAGCTGTGGCTCTGAACCAGGGGCCTGCGAGGCAGGCCAAATGTTGTGCCCACTAGGTGCAGCCACTCCTGGGGGCTGTGGAGGAGACGCCCCCTGCCTGGGCCATGGCCAGCTCTGCGAGGATTCTGATTCGCTCTCAATGCTGGGTTGCTCCCGAGCCCTAGAGGTTCCTGGAAGCTGGCCCCATTTATAAAAACCACTTCCTACAGCCAGTGGGAACCGCCAGGGGAAGATCTGATGTCACAGGGCTCCCAGGAAAGTGCTGTGCCCCATCCCCACCGACACCCTCTGATCCCCCGATGCCTGTGCCTGCCCTACCTGGACGGTGGCCCCCTCAGCCAGGCAGCCTCTGGGCAGAGAGGAAGGAAGGATTGGAAAAGTCCCTGGAGCACAGTGATGGTGGGAAGAAGCCTTACGCCTGATCTGGGGGGCACTGGCCTGGAGCTTGGGCCCACCTGCTTTGGGGAGTTGGGGAGCAGGCCCAGATGGAGGTGGTGGTGCCGGGAAGAAACGGAGCAATGACTGACTGTGGGGTGGGCGCGGGATTTCCGCATATTGGTGAAGTTGCCCATGGGAAGCGCAGCTGGGGGCAGTGGCGCCAGTTCCCTCCCATGGTCTCCCGGCTGGCAGTGTGGTGAAGCTGAGTTTCTGTCCAATGCGTAGGAAGGTTCTGAGACATTTCGCCTGAGGTGTAAGGTGTACTGTGTATGCATTGTTTTCTCCAAAAATTAAATTGCTTTTGACAATCTGGCTTTTGGAAGTTTTGGAGGACAAGGCGGGGCACTGCGCCTGATGGATGGTTGTAGGTATTTCTGTATAGATTCTGGGAGGGTTCCTGCTAAGTAAATAAGGAAGCAGGCCCATGTGGCAGGCTGTGACGAACGTGGGCCTGGCCCAGCTCTCTGGATGGGATGCATTCCCAGATGGCGACACTTCATCCTGCCTGCCTCCCTTTACAGAGAAACCCATGTCTTAGTCTGTTTTTGTGTTGCTATAAAGGGATACCTGAGGCTGGGTGATTTATGAAGAAAGAAGTTTATTGGGCTCATAGCTCTCCAGGCTGCACAGGATACATGGGGCCAGTATCTGTTTCTGGTGAGGCCCCAGGTTGCTGCCACTCACGGCAGAAGGCACTGAGAGCTGGCGTGCAGAGGTCACACGGGGAGAAGGGTAGGGGGGAGGTCTCACTCTTTTTAACAACCAGCTCTGGGGGAATTCTTACAGGAGCTTTGGAGTAAGAGCTCCCTCATTACTGCTAGGATGGCACCAGGCCATTTATGACCCACCCCCATGACCTAGCCCCTCCCATTAGGCCCCACCTCTCACACTGGGGGTCAGATTTCTTCTTTTTTTATTCTTTTCTTTTTGGAGATGGAGTCTCGCTCTGTCATCCAGCCTGGAGTGCACTGGCATGATCTTAGTTCACTGCAATTTCTGCCTCCCAGTTTCCAATGATTCTCCTGCCTCAGCCTCCTGAGTAGCTGGGACTACAGGTGTGTGCCACCACACCCACCACATTTTTGTATTTTTTAGTAGAGATGGGGGTTCATCATGTTGCTCAGGCTGGTCTCCAACTCCTGGTCTCAGGTGATCCACCTGCCTCCGCCTCCCAAAATGCTGGGATGACAGGCATGAGCCAGCGCGTCTGGCCCTGGGGGTCAGATTTCAACATGAGGTTTGGAAGGGACAAATATCCAAACTGCAGCAACCCAGACCCTGTTTTGGGAGGTAAACCCCACATGATGTTTCCCTGTTGGGTCTCTTTCTGGACACCTGATGTGGCAAGGTTATTTCAAAGGTGGCCACTTTTTGGAAGGTTATATTGGTTTTCATCCTTGTCCCTGGGACTGTGATAAGCAGGGGTAAGTTTTAAACAATAAGACATTTTTATCCACCTGGAAAAAGTGGCATCACTGTACTGGCTGCTGTAAGGATCAAGTAAGGAGAAAACAAAGTACCTCTCGCTTGACGCTAAGCTTCTCATCATGCAGAAGGGGAAAGGGCTCTGTGCCTGGAACTTCCCCGGCTCCTCCGGGCTTCTCTCTGCTCTCATTCACTTTGCACAGAGATGCCAGGCCTTGACCTTCAGTGGTGCCCAGACCATGGGGAGCCCTGACAGGGGATGGAGGAGGGGACACGGAGGCCAGCCACTGCCTAGGGCCCACCTGGTGAGGCTGGCTGTGTCCTGGCCAGAAGCCCCTGCCCCTGCCAAAGAGGCCTCTTCCTCCTGCAGGTGCTGGTGGCTGCTCCCTCCCCTCATCCACTGGGCCTAGGGTGGGCACAGCCCCTCCTTGCCAGCCTGGGTTTCTCAGCGTTCCAACCACAGCTTCATAACAGTACCTCCCTCACGATCCCTGGCTTCGTTTTCCTAACTGGAGGAGCTACCTGGGTCCACTGGGCCCCTGGCAGATCCAGCTTTCAGTCTTGGAGACAAGGAAACATCCTGGGTCTCCCTTGGAGTCTGGCTTTCCCGGTGCTAGTGTGACCTGAAACGAACTTCTCACATGATCTTTACTAGACAATTGCAGACCAGATTTTACACGCCTCTGTCATGATCTCCAAGAAGAGCTAGAGGAGAAATAAAGAAAACAATAGTTCCCGAGAGGGCCTGTTCCCTTGCTTTTCACGAGTACTGTCCTCGTTTCTTAGACAATTTCACAGGTGAAATCTGACACTATTATTGCTATGCACATTGCAGTTTCTGGCTGCTAATAAAGTTGGACCATTTTTCATGCGATGATTCCCTTGCCGATGAAGAACATGAAGTGTGAGTCCCCAGTGTGCTAGGCTGTGTCCTCGCGCCCTGCGCCCCTGCAGCGGGCCCTGAGCCAAGTGGGACCCACCTTGCAGGTGGCCGCAGGCTGAGGTTGTCTGTGGCCACCAGACGGCGCTCCAGCATTGTGTAAGGCAAGTCCCAGGGTCCTGGCGTCCTGAGGGCTTGCTCTGCTGAAGAGTAAACCAGGAGGCGCTCAGAGGAGCTGCAGAGGAGTGGCTTGATGACATAGAAGGGAATGAATATGAGGGAAGTTTGAAATGATTCCTGAAGGAATCCTTCATTTCATGGCCTCCCCAAGGGTGGAGAGATCTGTGGTGGTCCTGTAGCCCTGGGTTCCTCGTCTCCCGGTACTGTGACTACCCCTTTCCCCTCCTCCCTCACCACTAGGCAGGCAGGGCTCAACCCTGTGCTGGAGTCACCTGGGGAGCTTCGGAAAGCCCTGCACCTAAGCAGGGTGCGGTGGCTCATGCCTGTAATCCTGGCACTTTGGGAGGCCGAAGCGGGAGGACCACTTGAGGCCAGCAGTTTGTGACCAGCCTGGGCAACAAAGAGAGACCCTGCTTCTACAAAAAGCAAAACAAAAAATTAGCTGGGTGTGGTGGTGCACACCTGTAGTCCTGGCTACCCTGGAGGCTGAGGTGGGAGGATTGCTTGAGCCTTGGGGGTCGAGGCTGCAGTGAGCCACGATCAAGCCACTGCATTCCAGCCTGGGCAACAGAATGAGACCCCATCTCCAAAAAAAAAAAAAAAAAAAAAAAAAAAAAAATCGAGCCCCACAGCTGCATCTCACCCGGAGGTTCTGATCCCATCAGACTGCACAGGGATTTCTAAATCCTTCCAGGTGAGCATAGGTGAGGCTGAGACCCTCAGTGAGAGCAGGGCCTCTGTCTGCCCTGATTTCTGTGGGATTCCCAGGGTCCCCTACAGTGTCTGGCACACACCAGTCACTCAACACATGTGTATCCAACCAAGGGAGGAAAGTGGGGTTTTTTCCCGGAGACCTAAAGAACAGGCGGGCTTTCCTAAAAACAGCCCCCGCAGCCCGACACCTGCGTGTGGAAGGCTCACCTGTGTCCATGCTCCACCACCGTATCTTCCTGTCCCTAAACGGGGCTGGGGTGGGGCAGCAGGCAGGAAGGTCATTTCTGAGAGCACACAGGGAGAGGCCCCAGCAGGGCCGCAGACATTTGTGTCACAGATGATTCAGGATAAATGACTCCAGGACCCCACCGGCCCCAGACCCTGGGGGAAGCTGGTCCGTGTGTCCACTGTCCAGGCTGCTGCTGGGGAAGCAGCTCCAGCCCTGCTTAGCCTGAGTTTGGACCTGGGTCTTCTCATGAGCTGTTGTTTGCCTGTGGTGGGTGGTGGTGGAGGCCGGAGGCATGGCAATGTTGATGAGTGGCCCTGGGAGCCCCTGCCGTCCCAGCCTGTGAGGCTAATCTTTTCTTTTCTTTCTTTCTTTTTTTTTGTTTTTTGTTTTTTTTTTGTTTTGAGATGGAGTTTTGCTCTTGTCACCCAGGCTGGAGTGCAGTGGTGCAATCTCAGCTCACTGCAGCCTCTGCCTCCTGGGTTCAAGTGATTCTTTTGCCTCAGTCCCGAGTAGCTGGGACGACAGATGCCTGCCACCACACCCGGCTAATTTTTGCATTTTTAGCAGAGATGGGGTTTCACCAGACTGGTCTCAAACTCCTGACCTCAGGTGATCTGCCCATCTCAGCATCCCAAAGTGTTGGGATTACAGGCGTGAACCACCGTGCCCGGCCTGTCTTGTTTCCTCTTGAATAGGTTCCTATCCCATTCCTCTGGATGGATCTGTGTTTCCCAGATGGGCTGACTCACAGAACTATTCTTTAAAAAAAGTTTTTTTTTTTTTTTTTTTTTAAATTTATTCCCTCTTTAGGACTCCCACTGGCCAAATTTAGACCAATTTGAGTGTCAAAAATTATAAAGTTCTGAGAAAAAAAGGGAAAAAAAATATTCTCTGGAAGAATCCAGCTAATGACTGTGGAAGGAATTAGAGAATCATCGTGGTGTGGGGGTGACTTGTGGTGCAGGAGCTCAGCCTGGCATGAGTAGTCAGGGGACACTGACATCTCAGGCTGCAAGCTGGCTGGGAAACAGGACCTGGCCATGGGGCCCTGTCCCCACCACAGATTTCACATTGATCACACAGGAAAAAACCTCTTACAATGAAGAGATCTGTCTCTACTACAGGGTCAAATAGCACCTGTCAGAGAGGGAGCCCGGGGTCCCATGGTCAGATATGATGCAATAGGAAAGACATAGAGTGTTTGGTTCCACCGTGCGTGACCTGAATCCAGGCAAGACCCTGGATGCACCTCTCTGATGACAGGAAGTACAGGGAATGGAAGAACAGGTACATCGCCGTGGGAGAACAATTTACAAACCACATTGGCGGAGCATTTTCCAAGACGACTCATCTGGGTGCTTGAAAAAGTCAACACCGGGACAACATAAAAAATTAACTGGTCAGGAATCAAAGAGAAACAGCTGACTGTGAATTTAGATTGGAGCCCGGTGGGGGAAAAGGAGACTGTCTTGCTACATGTGGGGATTTTTGAGTACGGACTAAAAACTAGATGATATTGTGAAATCACTACAATGGTTTGCTCAGGTATGATAATTTTATGGCTATGTAGGAGACTGGCCTTATTCTTGGGAGAAGGATGCTGAAAATATGCTTTTAATACATTCAGTCTGTTCTTCAGCCACTGCCATGGTCCACTTCTAAGACATTTCATCGCCTCCAAAATCCATTTTCCATATCTTAATGGATATGGAACCCCCATATCTATTAAGCAGTCATTCCCCCCAACCCCTCTTCCCTATCCCCTGATGGCCACGAATCTACTTCCATAGAATATGCAATTTCATACAATCTTTTTATATAAACAGAATCATACACATTTGAATTCTTGTGCCTGGTTTCTTTCACTTAGCATGATGCTTCCAA